TCAAGGTAAATATAAGGATTTTATTTTGAAACGTGTATTTATAGAGCCTGTCAGATTATCTCTACTTTGAAGATAAGGCATCCACATCTACATTTAATATTATAGTGGCAAATGTGATCATCCCCCCAACTCAAAAATTATAAGAAATAAAGAAAAAAAGGAGTGAATGACAGAGGAAACTCTCAAGGTGATAGAAAGGTGACAGTAAACAATTCCAAGGAATGACACAATGTATAGGATGTTAAGCAAAATCATAAGAAAGAAATGCAAATAAGCAAAAGCTGATTTGCTCCATGAAAAGTGAGCAGATATAGAAAGACTGCAGAACATAAAAGCATGCATAAAAAGATAAAAGAAGTAACAGTTTTGACAGACACACTCCTTAACAGGATGCATAAAATCTAAAAAGAAATGTTTATTGTTGTATTAGCAGAGTCTCATACATGAACTTTTAAATAAATGCTCCCTCTACTGCTTTAATATTTCCAGGTAGTTAACTGCTCCTTTTGAAAACTCACTTCTGGTCCCACTAGGTTTTATAATGGCTGTTTCCTTTAAATAAATGCATGTCTCCTGGGATCTGAACTTCTGTCTTTAATCTGGTGCATCCATGTCATAACATATCATAACACTTATAAGAGAAAAAGAACAGAGACTTCAAAGATGGAATGAATACATTGAAGAACTATGAAATGATGACAGAGTGGGGAAGTCCCATGATACATAAAGAAACCCTGGAAGGACTTGGAATATTAAAATCTGGGGTAAAATCAACACTGGCTAAGATGAGTAAAGACAAAGCAACAGGACCAGATGGGAGTATAATAGAGATGCTGTCAGCCTTAGATGATTTTAGGATCGACAAGATTACTGAAATAATAAATTAAGTATTTGATAATGACAACATTCCAGAAGACCTCAGTAGGTCAATTTTCATTGTGATGACAAAGAAGCCAAGTGCAAATGAATGTGAGTTCCATTGACAATCAGATTAATGAATGACATAGAAAAATTAGAATTCTAATTAATAAAGCTTGAAGCAGAATTAGACTGGAAATAGGACAAGAACAGCATGTGTCTTTGTTCAAGTGACTGGGAAAAGAAATGCTATCTTCATGATCAGAATACTATCAAATGCAAAAAGACTTATATCTATGCTTCATAGTTTATGTAAAATAATTGGATAAGGTATGATATGAAAATTTATTTGAACTACTAAAAAAACTCAAATTATATGTGAAATATATTAGAATAATCCACAATCTTTACTGGGAATAAACCACATATATACTGATACGAAATGTGTTAAGCAAGTACACAAAAAGAGAAAGAGTAAGTAAAGGATGCATTGCAGATTTATTTAACCTACACAGTGAGATGATCTTGAAAAAAAACTAGATCTACTAAGATTTATTACTGGGCGCCATATTCTTAGCAACATAAGATATGCGGTTGACACTGAGTTGATGGCAGACTCAAAAGGAAGAACTAGACAAAGTAGCAAAGTGAAGAGAACCATTAACTTTACAAAGACAGAATGAATTGTCATCAGCAAGAAAAACAGCCTCAAATGTGAGCTTCAAATTGTTGATATGAGAATTAAGCATGTACCAAAATTTAACTATTTTGGTAGAGAACTCACAACAGAAAATATTAGACAGAAATCCAAAGGCACATTGGAACAGTGAAAGAAGCCTTCAAGAAACTAGGCAAAGTATTAAGACATAGGAAAGAGTGCGCTGAACTACTGTTATATTTGTCCTCCTATATGGTAGTGAATACTGGACAATTTTCTTATAGACAGACAGGCACAAAGTGTCAGGGATATTTGTCTACAGATGGATGCTGAGAAAACCAGGGGCTGAACATATATGAGCAATAGGAAAGTTTCAAATAAAACATGCACACTTTTGCTTAAAATCAGAAAGAGACATTTGAAATTTCTGGGACATATTTTGAGGAAAAAGAACTTGGAAAATTTGACACTCACAGACTATTCAGAAGGAAAGAAGTGCTGAGAGAAATAATGATTAATGTACCTTATGAACAGATCATAGAGCAGGGAGAAAGGAATGTTGCTTAGAGCTACAAGATACAGGAAGTTATGGAGAGCACAAGCAGATTACAGAGTTACATGAGGTAGAAGTGGTGTCAGTTGATGACATCTGTTTAAATATTAACTATCCAAATACCTTAAATTTGCATAAAGGACATCCATATTTATATTTATTGTTTTTTTTTACAGCTTTTTCAGGTTATCTAAACACAGAAAATATTCTGCGATTGTAAGAATCTTTTGCAGATAATAATGATTTACTGATACAATTTCTTCTATTTAACCCATAACCCTTGCGGACATTTTATTATGAAATGAGGCAAGATAAAAGTAGTGGTAGTCAACAGCATGGGGATAAACATTCATTTGCCTACCAGATACAATCAGACAATATTTTCAAGTGTGACACAAAAGGATTTTGTCATGTACAGCAAACAAACAAACAAATATGTGTGTGTGTGTGTGTGTGTGTGTGTGTGTGGTTAAATAATTTAGATATATTTATTTTACTTTTAATCCATAATTATTTTGCTGATGGCTGTCGAAAATTGATCAAGAAAAATTCCAAAATTTTCTTTCAAATAATTTTTATTTTCCCAAATGGGAAAACATACTTTTTTTGTGATGTCAATGAACACTCATTGCCACTTTTGTAATGCCAAGGAATAATCGTCACTTTCATAATTGCTTGTTGTAGTAGAGACTTTGTAACCACAGATACAATTATAGTAACATCGTTGAACAATGCTGGTGTCAGACACCTTCAAATATCACTCGCACTAGTAGTACTTGCTCGATACTACTCGCTCAAACAGTAATCCATATAGAGAAATAGTATAGTGAATAGAGTGGAGAAATAGTGATCCGTATAGTAATAGAGTACAGAGGAGGAATAGCGATGCATATAATATAGAGGATAGACTAGAAATAGCGATCAATTAGACGTCTTGCCACTTCCTACTTATGTGTTTCCTCTATGGTCAGATGGTCTACTTAGTTCAATAATGGGATCGCCTGTCTTTGCTCACTGGCGATCTATGTCAAGTGTCAAAAGTGACATTTTATTCCTATATAACAACTTTATAAATTAAAATCCACCGTACATATGACAGGTCACAACTACAAGTTTTGTACACACTATAGCATGTAGTCATCAAACAATAGAGTGTACAAATCTTCCTGAGTCCACCACATTACAGCTGATTAGGACAAATGGTTAAAAATAAAACCATCTAAGTTTAAAAGTATCAATTAAAAGTGAAATAGAATTATATTGCAGATCATTAATATAAAGCAAACATTTTCTTGTTTATGCCAGTATAACTAATTTCATATCAGGCTTGAACAATTAAATCTAAAATGCTGTTCATTTGCACAAGAGAACAAAATCTAACAAATATTCAATAATGATTGGTAGTAATCCTTCTCCTCATCACCATTACAAAATTGCTACATACAAATCATGATATTCTATGACTTCTCAATTAACATTAGCCTTCCCAATATCTTAGATTTACACACAAGATACCACTATATACATTTTACAGTATTAAGTATAAGTACTTAAGCCACAAAAATCAGGAGCTCTTTAGTGTTGGTATCTACATGAACACCATTTATATCTACAAATGGTCTATCCTTGAGCACTTTTTTCCTGTAAATATAGTAAAGTGTCAACAACATACCAAAATCCTTGCCATGATATACTATTTTTGCTGTGTTACAGTAACAAAGCCAGAAACAGAAATCAGATCATTTATATATATATATATATATATATATAAGTGGACATTGATGTTAACACCCAGCAGCAAAAGTCTGTTTCATGGTCAAGTGTAATCTTCAGGCTTGAAGATTGTGTTTAAACACAAAACAGACTGTTGCCACTGGGTGGTGACCTCAATATACATTTTTATATTTACATACGCTCTATCCCTGATACTGACCACTTTAACCCATAAATATAACATACCTTAAAACTATATATATATATATATATATATATATACAAATGAAGGCATAAAAACAAATTTCCACTATACTTCCTACAGGCATATCATGTCCAAAATGATTAAATAAAATTCCATCCTTCACATATACATTTTCTCCAATCCCCCAACTAGCATAAACAAACAAGAGGTCATGACAATAAATAAAAGAATTGGGAAAAATCAATTTCCTCCCATTCTTTAGTCCCGGTGAACTATATATATAACCTGCTAAAGGAGGAGTGGCACTTGGTCTGAAGATCACACTGAGATGTGAAACTGACAGTCACCATGCAGTATTGATTCCTATGACTGCACTATCTCCCCTCTCTCTTATTTGTCATCATTATAAACATTATTCTTTGTGTGTGTGTGTTTGTGTATATATCTATATCTATCTATATCTATATATCTATATATATATATATATATGTATCTAAGACTGACAACACATATATATATATGTATTTTAAGACTGACAGCGCATATATATATATATATATATATGTATATATATATGTATGTATGTATTTATCTAAGACTGACAGCATCAGGTTCTGCTTTTTTGTTTCTCTTCATCATGTTGAGTGCTGGTCAGTGACAAACACTTTGAATGTACTGGCAATGTTCAAACTGATGATTATATTCAAGTATATGATCTCTTCCAATAACTGAAACTAAGGTCTGCTCAGCATAGTTGCAGTATAAACAAAGTTGGCTCCATGGCTGTTGAATAAATACAAATGTGTCTGAGCAAGTGTCTGCAACAGGGATTGGCTAAGTGGATGAGTACTTTGAAATGAGTAGCCATCTATTCTTATTTATATATTGAGATACACATAGAACTTGATTTTTATTGTAGAGTATGCTTTCTTTTTAAAAAGAAATAACATATTAACATCAGTTCAGTTTTCATAAAATGCACAGATTATTTTTAATTTTAATTTTGTACATACCTGGAAATTGATCTTTATGTGCCTCCATATATTTGAGGACAAAATGGTCAGCACCCGTGATGATGAATCTGTGCTTGAAGACATCGATTTTGGCACCAATGTAGAAATCTTGGGGACCATAGTATTTAGGCGCTTCAATAGTGCTGCAAGGTTTGGCCACTCGAACGCACTCTAAGAATTTGCCTCCAATAATACCAGAGTTTTTTACAGGAGGTTCATAAATCATTATCATGTCATCAGAAAGACGATAGGAAATTATGAAACGACGGCTTTTGTCCTCTTCTCGCAAACTCTCCTTCAAAAAAGAATTAAGAAGAAAAACAAATGAGTAAAAAAACAAATCTGCCAAAAGTATTCAGAAATAGGAAAATTTATTGCTTCTTTACATTTCTAGGATTTATTTCTTAAGAAACAATAGTCATTATTTATATATATATATATATATATATATATATATATATTTTATTGATCAGGCCAGTAAATGGTGTTACTACTGTTTATTATGAACAGAGCATTTATTTAAATATTTGTGTCTATATAAATAACATACAACAATAAAAAAATATTAAAATAATTGTTGAACTTGACCACTTTGTAATGTGAGATGTCATTTGTTTATGTTTACACAGACTTTGAACAGATAGGAACATTTGAGGGAAATCATGGAAAATTGTAGTTTAAAAGCAGTAAAATCCTCCTTGCTAATCAGACACTCCTCTGTAATTGGTATAACACATCAGGCTATATGACGGTTCTGCAGAGGACATATTTTCGATGAAAATTTCTTGGACGTTCAGGCTGGTAAATGTTATTAATACTGTTTATTATAAACAGCATTTACTTAAATATTTGTGTCTATATATATGTACATATAAATCCGTGCATATAAATTACATATATATGTGTGTGTGTGTGTGTGTGTGTGTGTGTGTGTGTGTGTGTGTATATACATATATATGTCTATATACAGTGTGAGGCAAAAGTCACACACTATAGGGATAATTTATTAAAAGTATAATTACACATGAAAATTGTATTTACTAGTTATTTAATTGTTAACTGTTCAAGATATCCTCTTTCCTTTTTCAAAACTCATTTCAATTTTGTTCCTGCATGATTCATTAACACATTAGAGAGTTTTCCTCTGTCATTTTACTGCATTCATGTTTAATTCTTTCTTTAATTTCCTCAATATTTCTTGTGCATATATGATAAACAACTGATTTCAAATAGCCCTTGCAGAAAAAAATCCAGAGGTGTGAGGTCTGGTGACATCAGTGGCCACTCAACAGGACCTCTTCGCCCTATTCCATTAACCGCTATGGTGTGCAACTTTTGCTTCTCTCTCTCTCTCTCTCTCTCTATATATATATATATATATATATGTAATGTCAGATTTTATTATATAAGTCAATGTTTTCACAATAAGATTAGTATTGTTAAGCTAATACATAATATATTTAAATGATAAACATCTCATGTAAATACAATATGTATAACTTATAATATCTATTTTTATTAGAAATATTTACAATAAGATTTTATTATGCATCTCACGGTTTTGATTGATTTACAGCTTATCAACTCTTTGTGGATTCTTTAAAACCAAAATATATTTTGGATTGTAAAAATAATTCTTTTTTTTGAGTGAATATTACACTAACAATTTTATCTTTTGAGAATTACATTATTTTTTTCAAATACAAATCATACTATAGCTATAGGGAGGGAGATGGATTCATAAGTGAATGTACCAGATTTGACTGGAATTTGAACTTAGCTCTCCAAATTCTAATTCCAAGTCACTACCCATAACACTACCTTCATATCCATGCAAATAAAAGGGTAGTCCATAAATAAATAAAATAGCATTATTAGTGAAATTTATTTATTCTAATTTCAGATTGCATAAAGATCGCCATGGGTCAAAAAAGAAAGAAGATATCCTAATGTCATTGAGTGCTGGAAAGAAAACAAATCTGAAAACATTAACAAGATAAGAATAAAAAAAAAACTGGCTGTACAACAGTAACAAAGAGGGACCTGAGAAAAATGAATAGGTTATGTGTCTTCTCACTGGACTTATTCAACCTACAAAATGAGGTCATTCTGAGAGAATTAGAAGTCCTACCAGGATTCATTACTGGTAGCCATAAACTTAACAACATAAGATATGCAGATGGCACAGTGTTGATAGCAGACATAGAAAAGAAACTACAAGATCTCTTACAGAAGGTAGTGAAGCAAAGTGAGAAGAAAGGACTAAACATCAATTGTAAGAAGATAGAATTTATGGTTGTCATCAAAAGGAACGGCCCAACATGTAAATTACAAATTGGAGATACCAAAATCAAACAACTGCAACAATTTAAATATCTGGGAAGTGTTTTAACAGAGAATGAAAAATGCGACACTGAAATCAAAAGGTGCATTGGGATAGCAAAAGTGCTTTAGCAAAATATTAAGAAACAGAAAAATTTCATGAGAAACAAAGAAAAAAGTCCTGAACTGTTATGTAATATCAGTCCTCTTATATGGCAGTGAATTCTAGACAATTCCCTAAAAAATGAAAATTAAACTTTAAGCAACAGTAATGTGGTTCTACAAGAGGATGCTGAGAATATCATAGACCAAACATGTGAGCAATGACAAAGTTTTAGGTAAAATGTAAACAAAAAGTACAATGTAACAACATGAAGAGATAGTTGAAATTTCTCAGGCACATAATGAGGAAAGTTGGCTTTGAAAATTTTATACACACAGGAGAAATTGAAAGTCAAGGAGGGAGAAGAAAACAACACATAACCTACCTACCTACTGGATGGCTGAGCAAGATTTAAGAGAGATAGCAAAAAGATAAAATTTATTAAGAACTACAATGGAGTGGAAATTGTGGAGAGACATGAACACCAACATCTTGAAGGGACATCAGACATAGAAGAAGAATAAGCTTGAGTAAATGGATCGCAGAGATAAAAAGAAAGACAAAATTTATTAAGAGCTACAAAGGACATGAAATTGTGGAGAGCCATGATCGTCAATACCTTGAAAGTACACAGTACATAGAAGAAGCAAGAAAAGTGGATTGCCCAACAAGAATATATTAAAAAAAACTTTGATATAAATAAGTGAAGCATTTACTTTTTTCTTTTTTATAACCTAAGATACAACATACATATTACATGAATCTTTTAAGGTCAATAACCAATCAAATCAACATAGATTGCCTAATTTAATGTGTAGCACAGTCATTTAAGTACTTAGATGTTTTTATGGCATATATTTGCGAACTCATACACAATTTCAAAACCAGGTGGTACTGAATCAGTAGAGAGTAAACCAGTTTTTTTCCTCAGTTTCTATTGACCTGTCACTACCTACAGGAGGCTGAGAACACATGTTCACTGAAGACTGAGCTTCTGATGAGCCTGTAATGTTAACATGAAGTAAAGAAACTCACAACTAACCTCATGGCCATCAAACTGTTGTTTCTAGGTTTAAACAAAAAAAGTGTTGAAAAAATAGACAAATGAAAAAGTGAAACTGTAATACAGCAATGACTCTAAGTAAAAGCTTCTGAAGGTTTATTTGACTAATTGTTGAGATGTTGAGTGTTTCCGCGTGCGTGTATTAAAATAAGGACAAACACATACATAGGGAAAAATACTGGTATATCTGAAGAGGTATTTACAACAGGGAGATTAGTAGTCAAACGAACGCAGGTTAGTCAGTAACAATCAGAAAGAGTATAAAGTCCAACTGTATCTTCTGGTAGAGAGACAGAAGTGTGATGGTCACCTGATCTTCCCAGAACTCTATAGAACTGTCCTATTAGTAGTAGAAGAGAGATCAGTCCATTCTGATCAGCAGGTGGGTGCGCCCCAACACTAATTCAGCTTTAGCACTGAAAATGTTTATTTTATTATAGTTGATGGTTACAAGCAAAAGGGGTGTGCTTATTTTATTACGACAGAAACAAAACAGGGTAGAAATATTTATTCTATTGGAAGACATCTTTTGTAAAAACAAAAATGTTCTGTAAATAATGAAGAAAAAGTTGAAAAAGTTGAACTTACTCAGCAGATGACACAGTGAGCATGTAAGCTGTACTGCCTACACTATGTTGCATTTATTGCAAAGAGTGCTAACAGTTGCACCCTCTCCCAATGTCAGCTAAAAGTGAAGAAGTAGACTCTCAGGTCCATAGCACACATGCTTCCCATTTTTACTTTTATGTATGCCAAAAAGCTGAAATGGGATTACTTCTGCTGATAGAGCTTTTCATGCATACATGCCTGGCAAAAGGGTTTAATGTCTGCTACAAGTCTGTTATTGTTAGTCTAGCTACATAGAGATATTGACTGGATTACTGAAACATATAATGACATCAGTTTCCATTGGAATCTGCACACAGATGTAATCAACATGCTTTCTCTACATGCAACTGTATTTTTGTCAAACTCAAAATGTCAACATAACACAGTTCTTTAATATGATCAATATATAACCAGAACTATGTCCATTCTCATGCATGTAGCCTATTCCAAGCCTCCTTATATTTGACACAACTTTTGCACGCATTTTTATAACAAAATCCTGACTAGGTCACTATACCTGGCTACAAATGAAGTCTTTCAATTGTAAAACAGTCAAATAAGCATGTATCATATTTTCTTGAGTATTTGCCCTAAAGCTAATAAATTACATTCTCATAGTACAACCATCTCCATGTAAATTTTTTTGACAAGTTGTACTGTATTATTCCATTTCAGTTCAATGTTGTATATTTCACTAAAAAATTTTTCATGATATTAAAGAATAGAAATGAACCCGGTGTTTAGCCATTCCATATTTCTTCTCCTAATTTCTGATTCAAAACTTATTTTTAAATTTTCAGAGACAACTGAGGTCCGTGGCCTCATAGAATCTGCAGCACACCTGTCACCTACCAACATCCCAAAACAAATAAAACCATGATATTCAAGGTGACATCATTTAAATAACCAAACTGGAAATTATATGTGTATTTTCTTTTTTTTTAAACACCCTTCAATATAGATTTTAAAATATATGTTTAAAAAAATACACATAAAAATTCCAGTTTGACTATTTAAATGACATTGACTTGAGTAATTTGAAATAAGTTCCACCAAATATGAGAACACAGGAATTAAACAAAAGCAGTTGTATAAATAGGTACAAAATACAATCTGGGAAAACAAATGTAATAACATTCAAAAGTATTCAGAAAAAATAATATAAAATAAAAATATGAACCTTGTTAAATTTACTGAT